CTTACTTTCTTGCCATCTCCCTTCAAATCCTAATTTTCTGCACACTGTTTGAGTAAAGTCTCTGGTCTTTCTAGTTTCTGAAAGAAACACCAGATCCGGGTGGTGGAGCCTAATGGTCTCCTTAACCTGAGAAATTGTAGAGGGCCCACCCAGACCTCTACATTTCTGCAGGATTTCTTCACTGGTCACCTTGGGGCAGCTCAAGGCTGGCCACCACCACCTTTTTCTCTTCCTTCTTCGGTTTCTTTGATTTTGTTGATGTCTGTAAATCCCTGAATAATGATGAGTCCAACACCAAAAATAATTAGTGGTTGCTGTCTATCATAAGTTCTTTCTTTTTCCCTGAAACATCTTCAACAATTAGTGGTTCCTCATTAACCACCTGCATCATAAGATTCCCTACTGATGATTCTTGTTACCCAAAGTCTTTTTGCACCGCCTCCTTCCCTGACCCATTCCCCACTTTGCTACTCCCTTGGAAATCTTCCTTCTGGACAATACTGCAATCCTTCATCCTCTGTTGATCTTGGCCTCCCTCAGAATCAGAAGTCCTTTGGTAAGGCATAGATATTCCATCATGTTTTCTCCCATCTGATGTGGCATTTGAGGCATTGCGCGGTGAGTTTGATCTAACAGAATTAAGTGTATCCACTGACTTCATCGACTCCCCATATTAAGCTCCCTTCAGCTTAGCTTTTTTCATATCTGCTAATCGCTTGCAGCAGTCCATGTCCAAATGCCCAATACACCCACAATAGTAGCACAAGTTCACCAATTTTTTGCAGTGAAAGGTAACTCCAAGGAGTTGATCATGTAATCGAATGTTGGTACCCCTGGGTAGAGGTTCCTCCAAGTCCACCGTGACTAAAAGTCTCAAGTAACTCCTAGTGTTGCCTCCCACTATAACCACCGTTACATTTCCGACTTCTTGAAAATCCGCCCAATCTTCATCCCTACCTTTGGACTTAACCAATTTAGTGGTATCCGACGCACTTGAACCCATATATTCAGTTGTTTGAAGCATGGATGATTTTCTGAAATGTTGGGCTCCCAATCATGAAGAATAAGAAACTGATTTTCATACACCCAGTTCACTCCAGATAACACCTTCTGCTTATCTTCCACATTCCTAAAAATAAATTGAAAGAAATTTGTGGTTAGCTCCGTAATTTCAAGGGGAGTTGATAATTGCCAAATAAACCCCAGTGTTCTCTTGAGCCCAAAGATACCCGCCTTTATATCGCCAACAACTTTGCCCAGCAAACTCAGCGCACACTCCTCCTCGCTCGATCTGACATCGTCATCTTCGATATCGATGACATTGTCCTCTTTGTTCAATAATTCAATATTTTTTAGCCTACGCCCTAATTCCTCCTCAATACCTCCTTGCCCTAGATACTCCATGGAAGACAACAATAGACACAGCCAACCACTACTCCCACATTAATGTCAATAACAAGACAAACGACTATTTGACTCTAAGATTGAATTGAAAGAAAATCCCCAGAAGGGTAATCGAACTCTCAAAGAGAGAATAGGGCTCTCAAAGAGAGAATTATATGGCTCTATTAGTTAGTTGATAAAGGAAAAAAATGAAAGAATGTTGACTTTAACAAAATTGGCATGACGAATTTACCTAAATTAACCTGATTTCTATGCAATCTGATTTTTTTAATAAACAATTGATTTGATGCAATTGGGAAAAAAAATATGTGCGATAGTATTTTGCCTAATTCGAAATTCTCGATTTTATGGTAATTTGTTTTTTTATGAAAAAATGAGAAAGAATTTTGAATTTTACAAAATTGCAAGCATCAGTCGGAATTTACTTAAATCAAATCTACAAAACTCATAAATTTAGGGTGCATATATAACTGCTCGATTTTTTGAAAATAATTGAAAAAAAAAAATTAAGAAACTACTGGAAATAGAATTAACTAAATGATGGTTGACTTTCTTGTTACTATTTTAACTTCTCTATTTATGTATATATACTATTCTCTTTTCCCGATGGGTTAATTGCAATTTTTACTTTGTTACTATTCTTTCTTTCGCCGCACAAGCACTGGACCTAGGGTTGTAAACAAATCAAACATTTTTTATGCGATTCGTGATTCGAATTCGATATTCGTGATTCGAATTCGAATTCGAATGATGTTTTAGATTCGAAATTATAACGAATTCGAATCCGAATGTATAGATATTCGATTCGAAATTCGATTATTCGATTTGTTAACAATAATTACATAAATTTTACAAATTATATATAATATACATTTTGTTTATAATATATGTATATATATATTGTTATATTCCTAATATTTTTATGACATAAAAATTAAAAACATCATAAATTAACAAATTTTTCTAAAAATATATGAAAAATAATTTTTTTTGTAATTATAATATTTTTTAAATATAATATTTTTATACAAATTATATATAATATATATTTTGTTTATAATATATGTATATATATATTGTTATATTCCTAATATTTTTATGACATAAAAATAAAAACATCATAAATTAACAAAATTTTCTAAAAATATATGAAAAATAAAATTTGTTTTTGTAATTATAATATTTTTTAATTATAATATATTTTTGAAAACGAATTTCGAATCGAATCGAATATGTTCGAATATTCTAAAAGAATCGAATACGAATCAGAAAATGAATTCGTTATCGAATGGAATCACGAATCAAATCTTCGAATATTTTAAACGAATCGAATCATATCTCTGAGTATTCGCTTTGATTTGATTCGTTTACAACCCTAACTGGACCTAACGCTTTCGACCCGAACTGTTTGCATCCGAAGTAGCGATTCCCGGGGGCTGCCGCCTGCCCCGGAAAGGCATAAAGCAATGCGAACCACCAGACATAAAATCCAATCATGGCGCAAAGCACTAAAACAAAGCGTATGTCCCCCCCAGTACGAGTATATGATTGCGTCTTCCAAGCTAACGGACTTTACTCTTGAGGTATTTCGGTTAATATCTGCTAATCCCGGCTTCCTATCTGGCGAGTGCAGTATAGGAGCTCCTCGTCGGAGAATTTATGTTTGCCAGAAGGTCTAAATGCTCCAAAAATTTGTGAAGGTCGTGTTAGTCATTCGATGGCCTGAACATTTTGTTACAGAAATTAACATCTCTACATTTCCGTCTTGAATTGGTTTGCCCAACAGTTTTTCTTGTGTGGAAACTCGTATCTTGATCAACCCAATCAATGATCTTATTTGATAGGTTTCGATTTTTATTTTTTTATTTTTTGTGTCAATTATGATTTTGCAAGCCTAGATTGCCAATCCCCGGTGAGGATAATTGAATTTAGACTTCTTCTTGATGACCAACTTCTTGGTCTATATGGGTTTGTTCTAGTCTAGATCAATGAATTGTATGCCTTTTGTGATCAAATTTTGAATTTGTGCAGTCCCACATTCCGGGTTGACCCGGAAGCACTCGATCGATGTAGGGGCAGGTGTAATCGATGCCAGATACCGGGTCCCAATTGTGTGTGTGTGTGTGTGTGTACTGTGTGTGTGGTTGTGATTAAGTTTTCGAGATTTTGTATGTTTTATGATGCATTTGAGATGTTGAGATATCCCGAGTAAAGAAACGATCAGGTTGTGGTTGCTCGGTGGGGCAAAGAGGGTTTTTATGTAGCTGTAGGACGATTTGGGGCTAAGTGAAAATGTCTAAAAGTCCATGTGCCTCATTTTGAGAATTTGATAATCTCTTGGTATTTATTTGTTGTATTTTAAAATGCTGTCCATATGTCTTGCTGCCCACCGTCTGTCCGGTTGTACTGTTTTGACCCTCGTACCTTTGTCATCTGCAGTTTTTGTTTTCATAAATATTGTAGCATGGTCTCTTTTCTGTGTTTAGGCAGGAGAAATACTCGGGTATCTATCTTATATGAAACTTTATGTTCAAAGTACGATAAGTGCACAGGGCCGGTTCGTGTCACTTTTACAGTGTGTTCCTGTTTACGCGATATTTTCATTTACCTAACATCCTGTTCTATTTGCGATATCTTCACAAAAGTTGTAGATATGTCCCTTGGTTATTCTTAGGATCAAGAATTGCCTCAATGTATTTTCTACAATTATGCTCAACATCACCGTGCGTAGCTGTTTTCTGTCAAATTGGCACTGCTGATGATTTATGAACCATTTTCTATCCTATTAACTTGTTCGTAATTATTTAATGTCTTCATAAGAATTGTATCTATATACCTTGTATTCTTTTAAGTTTCAGAATCAGTCAAATATGTTTTCTCTAGAAAAAGTTATGTTCGTTATACCGTGACTGTGCATATGTAACTGCTCAGTTTTTCAGCAGCAGGGAAGTTCTGTTTGGAAGCGGTTTTCACCCTTTGAAAACTTGTCTGTGCTTGAAGGCTAAATAAGAGTTTTAGATGCGTGTCTTGAGATCGTATTGTATCATGAATCTCTTCAATATGGGTTTTCTATTTGAAGTTAGCATAATTCAATCCACCGTGGACTGCAGTTTTTCCCCGAAGGTAGCATCGGACCGTTTGCCACCATCAATCTCTGTGAGGTTTGACAAAGGGCTGGGGATATGGAAGGTGAGAATATGCAATATATGAAACAGGTTCCTGTCTACAAGATGAGATAAATTGTGGGGTATTTTTGTTCGTTTAAATAGACGATTTCAGCCTTCAGATACTAATATTAGTAGTATACTATCACTAGACATATGGCGTATTTAAGTAAATATATAGTCGGGCGGCTCGTCGAGCTTTCTAGCTTATTGACAAGATGCTCGAGCTCGAGTCGAGCATTGACTCGATCTCTTGCTAGTGGCTCACGATTTGTTTGTAGCCCTATTGCTAACCTTCCTAATGGACCTTAGATGACGTGAGTAAAAATGATGCTATAGAAATAGAAAAACTGTTCCTTTTTCATTAGTTTAGCCGAACTTTGATAAATGGGCATTCTACTTCAATAAATTAGATTAAGATATTATATAAATTAGAAGGCAAACAAGATAACAAATAAATAAAGTGAACCCTATCAATCCATGAGTAGAACGAGTCTCTTTTGATTAGGTAACACAGAGATTTCTTGTTTGGCATGCATGCTAAGGGTTTACTGACATGCATTCTAAACCAATTTTTCATGTTAATGGTTATCTTATGGGTCCTTTTTCACATTTTATTGAGTTCTAAACATAAATTGTAGGAGGTAGGGTATTGTTTATATCTGCTCTTATGGCTAAATTATACCAAGCTTATCTATTCTCCCATGGTGTGTAAAATATTTCAAAGCAGCAAATCAATTAATATGTGTTATAACTTTCTTTATACCCTGTTGTCATTTTCAATGTAACATCTTTTCTTTTACTTTTTGTTCCCAGTGAAGCAGAATATGTCGCGAATTTGGAAACAAAGAACGGCCGAAGCAAAAGCGCTTGCGGAGCCCCTGTCCTCCACAATCGCACGACTTAAAACCTCCTTAACCGAGTCAAATTCCCAAGGTCTGCTCTCAGGCTGTAGCGTGCTCTTTGCGGCAAGGCCCGACCAAACCGAACTTCTCAACCGAACGTGCTTCGGCCGCCCCATTATTACTGCAGAAAAGGATAAGCAGTGGTTCCAACTGAGTCTAGAAGAAGCACTCTACTTGAGCTCCATTTTGAAATGCATGAAGCTCGTTGGAGAAAATAAATCCACCAAAAGCGACGAAGAATTATGGTGTCACATGATGTCCAAGTATTATAATTTCCCGGTTATGTTCAAAGCATATTCCCATCTCCGAATGAAAAATTGGGTGGTGAAATCGGGGTCCTTGTATGGGGTTGACTTTGTTGCCTACAGGCACCATCCGTCCCTGGTTCATGCTGAGTATGCAGTTATTGTTTTATCGGATGAGGGTGAAAGTAAAAACGGACGGTTAAATTCTTGGTCCGATTTTCACTGCACCCTTCGGCTGTGTGGTGGGGTCGTAAAGACTTTGCTGCTGCTGCATGTGAGGAGAATGAATGGTGATGGCAGGATTTGTGTCTCAAGTTTGGATGATTATAATGTGGAGGAGAGAATTGTGAGTAGGTGGAATCCGGAGAAAAGCCGTGAGGGTCCAACGAGCACTAGAGAAGGAAGCTTGTGAATCATTAAGGAGGAATTTAATTTGATTTATTTTACTGTAATTAGACTTTGTTTTCTTAGTTTTAGGAATTAATTTCCTCTTTTCTTGGAAATGCTCCAAGACTGGTTTTGTTTGTTTCTTTGGCAGCACTATAAGGATATGTATTTTCGAGTCTTCATCCGTTGTATTTGGTTCAAGATGATACTATTTGGTTGGTTCCATGTGGTATTTTGATGATGGCTTATTATCATCTCAAGTTTGTTAAGGTGGTCATTGCTCATCAGAAATTTCCATTGTATTCCCCACATGGGCTTGGGCCCACGGGCTGGCCTGTCCTGGAATTAATGACACCCACTATCTATTTGTTTAGACAGTTTATATAACTACTCTCTCTTATTATTTAGACAAAGTTACTCCTTTTTGTTTTTAATTATACTTCTTTGTGGATGTTTCTAGGTTTTCAAAATTCTGACGGTTTTTATTTTAAATTTATATTTTAATTTTGGTAACCAACGCATCTTTTGATATTATCCCCTTTTTTTCTCTTTCTCTTTCTTCTCTCTCATGGTTACGTTTTTTCTTGTTCCTCTCTCTCTTTTTTTTTTCTTCTCACCTTTTCGCGTGTGGCCTCGTCATCCTGGTAAATTTTCCTCTAATTTCGTCCAAATTGTTTTCTTCCCTAATTTTGATTTACCATACTCTGTTTGTGTAGTTTTTTTGGCTTAATTTCTCAAATTTTAGGATTTATTTAAGTATTTATTTTTCTTTTGAATCGACAAAATTTGTTGCAGGCCGAGGATTTGAAAAATTTGGAGTGGTTGCCTCAATTCATCGACGATGACTCCACGGCGAGTCTCTCCCTGTTATGACCGGTCAGAATTACCTTCCAAAAGAGCGAACACGTGAACCATTTGGTCCATAAGATTGGCATGCCGTTTTTTCCCTCACTGGTCCTGAGAAAACCAAGGATCTATCTCCCGATGAGGCCGCGTGCGCTGCGACTATACTGGGTGCGGGGGTTTGAGAAACAGTGGTGTAGGTGTTAGATCAATGGGGATGATAGCCACAACGGGTGATGAAGTTGATTGTCGGACTTTATGGGA